ACACAAATAACAAAGACTACCAAAGATCTGCAAAATAAAACCAAACAACTGACCATCAGCAGTTATTTTTCCACATCTACCACCACAACAACCACCACCATGTCAACTTCAAAACATTCTTTCACAAGCATAACACCACTGCCGCTGCCACCACCTCTACATCACACACTCCCCATGCCATTCAGGTAAATTCTTGAATGCCTGACTTCGACATCATTACTATATCATATTCATCTTCATCACATTATCAATAAAAAAATTTGAAATACCTGTAATGATGGAGGCCTTGTTGTGAGCCTCAAACCAAATCCTTCGCAGTATTTCCTATTTACTCTTAGTATATCCTAAGGTCCTAGCCAATTTATACATTCAATTTAATAACAGCAAATATTATGGTGTTACATTATAAAAACTCAAATCACTCACAACTATACGCTGTACTGTCAACCAGGCTACTGCTGTACATACATGGTTGACAAATATATAGCTTCATAAGAAAAAAGAAACAAAGATATATTTACCAATACATTGTCTACAAAATAAATCAAACAAGGTTATATATTTTTCCTATAGCAAATACAGTACGGTATAATGTAAGAAAAAAATACTACTACCAAAAACTGCAGCTTAATAGTTCCCTATGTACTGTATACTATACAGGGGAGTACTGTATACATCTTCTCTAAATGCTTCTACATACACTGCAGCTTAATAGTTCCCTATGTACTGTATACTATACAGGGGAGTACTGTATACATCTTCTCTAAATGCTTCTACACACACTGCAGCTTAATAGTTCCATATGTACAGTACAGTATACTATACTGCAGGCATGGGCAACCCACAGCCTAGGCCATGTCTTTGTGCAGCCCGTGTAGTGATTGAGAAATTCTATTTAATGTGGCCCGCGGTTCTCATAGATGCAGCCAGTTTATGGCGAGTAAAGCGATATTTATTAAAAGAAAAATCTTCACACACCATTCGTTACTGTTTCATCACCTAAGAGTAAGTAACTATGAAAATGTAGTACTGAAGTGAAATAAGTATACATAGTCAACAATATAATCATTTTAACTTTTGTGAATTTACGGCCAAGTTCGGCACGGTCTGTTTGATGGATTAGCTATGTGGCAGTGGGTCACTTGGGAATTAACTATAGGTTGTTTCATTGTAGTTCTTCATGCACCAAGTTTAACATTGACATTACTCTGGTGGGTGTGTCTCATAAATAAGGAAAATGCTGTAACTGTAGGATAAATCACCGTATTCACAGACTACTGATCAATTCATCTTCTGTTAAATGCCAAGAAACACTAACATATTATGAAATGCAGCCCATGACTGAGGAAAGGTTGCCCATGCCTGCTATATTGTATACATCTTCTATAAATGCTTTTATACATTTGTATTTGACGACCACATTTTTAAAAATACATATATTCCCCGACTTACAACGGGGTTAGGGACCGACATCCAGGTCGTAAGTCGAAATGGTCGTAAATCGGAAATGCTTAAATAATACAGTACATAGAAAATCTAAAATGGGGGTCGCCTTTTCTTCTCAGCACCACAAAACACTCAATTTTCAGCTTGCCAGCCATTTTAAAGCGAATTACAGATGAAAATTTTGTCTGTGTACTGACTTTGGGACTCGAAAATGAGTAATTTGATAAAATTTTGGTACGACAGAGGCAGGTCGTAAGTGCGGGTGGACGTAAGTCGAGTAGGTCGTAAGTCGGGGAGGAGCTGTATATTACCTTTCCAGCTGCAAGAATTTTATACGAATACTGGATATTATTATAATTAACCAAACAATTTTAGACACTTTCATGAAGTCATTGATAAAACTGATTACTGTAATGTTCCTCATTTGCTGAGGGGAAGGTTTTCATGGGTGTTACTATATAATGCTGTCTACCTGGATATTTACACTATACAGTAGTATGTAGTATCAAGCTGGAGTTGGTTTACTGGCATATTTACACTGTAGCATCCATTAACCCAACCAAGGTTAGGTTAATGGATGCTACAGTGTAAATATCCCAGTAAACCAACTCTAGCTCAGTATACTGCATACTATAGTACCTGTAGTACCTTTGCATGAGTATCAGAGCTCCAACTGCAAAAAGACACATTATAAGAACATAAGAAAATAAGGAGTCTGCAATAGGCCGGTTGGCCTGTGATGGCAGCTCCTGTCGAGAATTACTACCACTCTCTCTCATCCATGAATCTATCTAGCCTCCTTTTAAGACTTTCCAGCATTCCAGCACTTACTACAAAGTTGCTAAGCTTGTTCCACTCGTCCACCACCCTATTTGTGAACCAGTTCCTTCCTATCTCCCTCCTAAACTTATCCAACTTAAATCCGTTACTACGAGTCCTATCCTGCTCGGATATTATAAGAACTTCATCTATATCTCCTTTATTGATTCCTTTCACCCACTTAAATACTTCTATCATATCTCCCCGCACTCTTCGTCTTTCTAGGGAGTGCGAGTTAAGTTTCTTTGGCCTGTCCTGATATGGGAGGTTTCTAAGTCCCGGAATCATTTCATCATTCTTCGCTGCACCGACTCCAGTGAATTGATATCCATTCTATAATAAGGACACCAGAACTGAACAGCGTAATTGAGGTGCGGCCTGACTAGCACAAGATATACCGTAGTTGCAATAAGACCTCTGCACTCTTATTACTTACACTTTTAGATATAAAACCTAATACTCTTCTGGTAAAACTTATACCAACCTTTACAAAATATTTTCATAATTCTTTCACCTCAACACTTATATTTAATTTTAATATTTTTTAGTAACTCATATCTACTCGAATAACTGATTGGATCATGTTATAAGAGAGAAATTGAATAAAAATTACTGTATATGATATACAAACCTTATTACATATCACAATGCAGGAGCCGGCAAATCATTACATATTGGTGACATTATGATAATGTATACCTGTACTATATATAGGTAATCTGATTACTGTATTTCATCAAAGACAAAATTTGGGGATTCATCTTAAGAAACTAGTTTTCAAGTCTACATGTCCCACAATCTAATCATATGTTTCAATAGGTTTACCTAAAAATCTTATCTAACTACAAGTATTATTTCATTATTTTTTCTACATGCACTCTGTACATTTAAAAAAATATAATTCTACTGCATAAAATATACAAACTCCTGAAAGACCTGTGAGGAACATTTATAACAATAATTATAATATTTCCTCCAAAAATCTTATAAGCTTACAATTGGTCTGACATGTATACAGGCAATACATGTAAAGTATATACAGTATACAGTTCAGCATATGTACATACTACAGACAACACAGGTATACTATGCATAGACTGTGCAGGTATATAATTTCCAATGTAACAAGAGTGTAACCACAAAACAATAGTATACAATAAGGCAATTCGACTTAAGATATCAAATAAAGCCATCAGATGTTATTTCCAGAAGGGTCATTTGCTTAGGCTTGGTTACTACTCGGTAATAGTATATCAATAGTAATGAATGTGAAGTTTTTTTAATATAACAAGCATCTGTGCACTAAAACTGAGTAAAAATCCATTAGAGCTCTGCCAGCTTATTACTAAATGAACAAAGTTTACCATAAAATACATTATTTAGAATAACTTAGCAGTTGAAATTCATTGATAAGAGATAATTTTAAATGAAAATTAATAATCAACTTGCCTTCTCCTGCACCACTACCTAACTCCTTTAACACTGACAATTAAAAAATACTCTAAATGTGTCTGAATTTAAGAGAGAACCATGGAACAATATATACACAGTACTTTAAATTCGGTAGTACACAGCACATTGTTCCTACTGAAATTAGACCTAATTCAGTGATTACTTTAAATTGCCAGAATACCAAAGGAAGAGAGGCCATAGCTTTAATGCAAAATTGGTAAATTATTTATTTTTCTTCAACTTTTGTCTATAAAAATTAATTATGTCTTATATTTTACTGGTGATACTGACCAACTTCCTTCATGGTCAGCTTCTTGTAAGTCTGTGAAAAAGCTGGTGAACCTCTCACATTTTCATCCCCAAATTTTTCAAATGCACAACACTGTAGGGCCTTACATTACCTTACCTGACCTACAAATATTTAATATTCATGATAAAAATGATACTCACAATGACCCTGTATTATGGCACGGATTTGATTATTATTGATGTGTGTTGTCAATAGATTGTCTTTGTCAGTTAAGCTCAAAATATTGAAGACTTAAACTACATGACCATGATTGCACCATGCATGACAATAATTATAGAAAGTATGTGTAAAGTGGTGCACTGCCATGTCTTGGAGATGATATACTTTAGTAATGTAAATACTGTACATACATAACTCTTCTTACCAATTATACATTAAAATAGAAAACCAATAATTATTTTGATTTTAGTGTAAGCTTAATAACACCATTAATTATTACCTATACCATCATAACTGTATACCTTAATACCCTGTATACCGTATTCACAAAAATAAGTTGCATAAAATTGGCATTAATATGAAAAAATAGTTATAAATTGTGAGGCCAAAAGCCAGTTTTGCATTATCAATAATTTCGTTTTGTATAGAGATAATGCTCCCAATCATGATTGACCCAATTTCTTAATAAACTTATTTTACGTTAACATCAGCTCCCTAGTCTGAAAATTATGTTACAGGCTTCATTTTAAATACAATAAAGAAAAAGACAAACTGCTGTAGGAAGGATAGCATACATAGAGACTGCATGGTCTATATATTACATTACAAACAAGAAACTGCGCATAAAATCTACACAACACGTACCACGTGACGTAAAATTCCTTGTTTACGCTCCGAACACCAACATATCAGATGGAGACATGCCATATTATTGACGGATTTCATTGTAAAAACAACTAAACTTTGACTGCGAGAAGCATTAATATATTCTACAGGACATGACACCAGTATTTAAAAGGTAAATTGTACGTACCAAGGTCTTGATTTGGCCCATGTGGCAGACATGTTTTGATTAGGGAATTATGGGAACAAAAACGCGGGAAAATGTAGGTTACTTCGTCTTTACTTCTCAAGGTAATAATAACTTGGAATGAGCTTTATTGAAAAATAAATTGTTAATTGATAATTTGAGCATTAACAATTATATAGTAATGATGAATCTTTGATAGTTAGCAAATTGAACGTTTTATTTAATTTTGTTTTAAAACACTATACTATTAGCACAAGAATAATGGCTGAGCTACGATTGCTCGTGACGTCATACTACTACTCCCAACCCATTGAAGTGATTGGTGGGTTGTACTATGCTGGCGCATAGAGCCATTCATGAGCGGTCCCTTTAAATGTTTGTAAACAACAGGGTACGAATTTTGAAGATTGTGGAATTTCGTCTGCATGCGTCCTACATCACTCTAAATAGCATTATATATGCTTATATTTACGTACAGGACGAAAAATATGAGTGGTATGACGGCTAAGAATACCGAAGAATGCAAACATACGTAAAAATATAAAAACGTAATCGCTGCACCGCAATGAAATAAAAAATATATCACAACATTTTAATCAAAACTCGTTTTGATTAAACTCACCGTTTGATGAATGAGACGTGGCACATCATAATTTGTATATTCATCAATATGGTACACGTGCATACATTACAATGCCTCTTCGTGGAATGTATTAAGGTTAATAATCTATTATAACGAAAATAATAGTATGCTGCTTGCTCCATATATATATATATATATATATATATATATATATATATATATATATATATATATATATATATATATATATATATATATATATATATATATATATATATATATATATATATACCTGTCTCAACCTTTTTATTTAATTCATTATGTACCTTTCAAGACTTTTCAGTCACTGAAAATCCAGCAAGTACTGTACATATAGCCACTGTACTTCTTCCTTTTTCTACAAGAGACCAAAGACCATTACAGCATTCCTAAATATAATATGCAGAGCAAATACAATGTTATTTTGTTTGTTGCAAGTTTTAGTTAATCCAAGTAAAAGTTAGTGCTGTTCATTAATTTCCATCAAAGTGTCTGTGGCACCTGTTATCACATTTACTTCTTTTTTTTTTTACATTTATCCTCTTCACCACTGATCGGCTCGTTAGCCACTTGGGCGATCGGTCACATCTCTGTCATGCACTGTTGGCAAGTACTGGGCATGCACCGGCTCCTGAATGTATCTGAACCTGCTCCAGTGTTGGTCAAGTCTGGGCTCGAAAGAGGTTACACTCGGTGCCGTCACAACACTCTCTGGCAGATTGTTCCAAAAGTTCACAACTCTCACTCAAAAAAAGTTCACCCTCACAGTTTTCTGAACTGGCGGCTTCTTCAACCTTGAGCTGTGACCCCTTGTGGGGCGAGTGTCTGCCATCTCCTGGTAAGGACACTCGATTGAGTAGTGCCCTTTGAGATGTTTAGACACCTCAATTAGGTCCCCCTTTACCCGTCTGTAGTATCAGCTTGGCAATTGCAGGCACTCTTAAGCTCTCAGGGTAGCTGAGGTGCCAAAGTGCAGGCAACAGTCTGGTGGCCCTCCTTCGGACATTTTCAATCAACTGACAGTCCCTAGCATATCTCTGGGGGTGCCAGTACTCCAGGCAGGAAACACCTCACTCTTAAAGATCGTTACGAGGGACGAACCGTCTAGATATCTGAAAGACATTCTTATAAGACCTAATAATTTAGTTGGTTGGTTCACCTTCAGCTCACAATGGCCCGAAAACTTCACTTCATTGCCAACATACACACCTAGGTCCTTTTCACATTCAGTCTCAATTAATGGAGTTTCTTCATCCCGTTTGTACATCCCAAGCGAGTCCTCTTACACTTCGTGACATTGAATCTTAGCAGCCATTTCTTCAACTATTCTTGAAGCTCACAGAGACCCTTCTGCAGCTCTTCACAGTCTGCTTGGTTCTTAATTTCCCTAAATAACTTGGCATCATTCGCAAACATTTGTATGGAGGAGTGTATAGCTTCTGGCATGTCATTTATGAAGCAAACAAACAGCAGCAGGCCCAATACACTGCCCTGTGGTAACCAGTTGTCACCGGTACACATGATGATTTTGTGCCATTATTCACCACACACTGCTTGCGATCATGGAGAAAGTCTCCGATCCATGCTCGGATATTCCCCAAATCCCGTAGCCTTCCAGTTTAATTTTCAGTGTTTCATAGGGTACTCTCTCAAAAGCCTTGGCAAAATCTAGATATATATTGCCAATAAGAATTACCACCCTGTTCCAGAATTTGGGTCCAAACATCCATTACCTTGAGTAATTATGTTAAGCAGGAGCATCCTGGCATAAAACAGTGCTGGCAATCCTTTACAAGGTTCTTTCACAGCATATATTCCATCATGGCATCTCTTATAATGCTCTTAAGTACTTTACATAATATGCTGGTCAGGCTCACTGGTCTATAATTATTCGTGGAGTGACGATCACCCTTCTTGAAAATAGGACTCACATAAGCCATTTTCCAATCACTGGGGACCTTTTGCTCATCCTGGCATTTACAGAACAGGATCTTCAGGGGTTCAGCAAGCTTGTTGCACAACTCTCTTAGCACTCTGGGATGCACCTTGTTAGGGCCGAGACTCTTATGAACCTTTAGCTCTGACAATTTATTTCTTATAACCTCTTCTGAGAACACAATGTGGGTCAGCACTGTGTCGAACCGTCTGTCCTCAAATGCAGAAAAATTATTCGTATCCTCTCTTGTGAACACCGAGGAAAAATTGCTCAATGCCTCAGCTTTGTCCAAGTCAGAATCTGCATAACTACCATTTAAAAGCCTCAGTTCCAATACTCCTCCTCGCGCTTTTAACTTCGACTTTGCGTAGCAGTAACGCGCCTTTGGGTTTGACTTGACCTCGCTAGCAATCAGCCTCTGGAATCCTTTTTTAGCCCTTCTACACTCTCACTTTGCTTGGTTCCCGGATGTTGCATACATTCTCCTGTCCTGCTCATTGTTTGACCTAAGCCACACATTGAATTTCTGGATATTCTTCTTAACTTTGTTGACCGCCACATAATTCATGTGTAGCGGTCTTCTTGTATTCCTGAAGACACTGGGTTTGGTCTTGGATATATATTTCTCGATCAAATGGTCCACTTTACTGTCAGTTGGTTGAAAATTTTCAAAGGAGGGCCACCAGACTGGTGCCTGCACTTCGGCACCTCAGCTACCCTGAGAGATTGGAGCGCCTGAACTTGCCTAGCTTATACTACAGACGGGCAAGGGGTGACCTAATTGAGGTGTATAAGCATCTCAAGGGGCACTACTCAGTAGAGTTTCCTTACTTGGAGGTGGCGGACGCTCGCTCCACAAGGGGTCACAGCTCAAGATTGAAGAAGCCACAAGTCCAGAAAATTGTGAGGGCAAACTTTTTCGGAGTGAGAGTTGTGAACTCTTGGAACAATCCACCAGAAAGTGTTGTGACGGCACCGAGTGTGAGTTCTTTCAAGACAAGACTTGTACAACACTAGAGCAGGTTCAGGTACATTTAGGAACCGGTGCATGCCCAGTACTTGCCAACAGTGCGTAACAGAGACGTGACCGATCGCCCAAGCGGCTAACGAGCCGATCAGTGGTGAAGAGGATAAAAGTAAAAGTTATATTTCATAATAAATTCTGCACTGTATAATATCAATATGTTAACTAAATTTCAGAATGACTAATAATTTTAATATAAAAAATGCAAAAATATTGAAGAGCACAACTTTCTTGATACTTACTCCACTGAAAACGAATGTAAACATAGAACCAATTACTGTATTGGCGGACTAGCCAATCAGCTGATGCGCACAACAAAGCGTGTTTCTCATAAAGCTGTCGTTAATCAAAGTTTTGTTCGTTAATGGAATTGAAAATCCTTATTGGAGCCAATTCGTTAACCGAAATTTCGTTAATCGAGGGACCACTATATATCTTAATGGTAAACATATAGGTTCATGAGTTCTGTAATTCATATCTTGAATATAACATAAACAGAGGACATCATTTTATATCGTTTTTTCCGATACTGGAGAGAACGTGTGCACGGATGACTCACGAAATATTATGTTTTATGGGCGAATTTGCAAAATATGAATGAGTGTGGGCGTTAATATAATATAGGTACATACAGTACTCCTGTGACCATGACATCACCATGTTCTGTTAAATCATTGTATCATGTCTTACACACCAATGTTGTTTTATATACTGAACTGTATTTATTGTTGAAGTCTTGTGTCCTATCATTTGGTTTTTTAAAACATGAGAAGCTTTTTGGAAATTTTGCAGTTTTAAAATCCTTTCCTTTGTCTTATGCATTATAATCTGAGATCTAATAGTATATGTAGGAGGTTTTAAAAAACTGACAAATATTATTAATACCTATACTGTACACTGTACTGTAAATGCATAAGGATGTGTGCATGTTGAAATGTGCACAAGTATATAAGTAAAATGCCACTTTCTGAGAGTACTGGAAAAAGAGATTTGAGTACAGTACAGTACGGTACAGTACTGTACAGTACACTGCTGTTACTCTGACAAAAACTTACTCAGGTAAACATAAAAGTACTTTTTCTTTATGTTAATTCAAGTAGAAATAAAAACTATTAACTTTATAAAATACTAAAGTACAGTAATTGAAATAAAAGTACCGTTGCAATTCAGATTTTTTCAAGAATTAAGACATTTTATTGAAGTAGTGCCAATATCAAAGGCAGATCCAGGAATATTAAAAGAGGGGGTCCAAGAAGTTGTGGGTGGGGGAGCATGGCGAGCACAGCGATCCCACCCAGCTGGACATTTTGAGGCCACTTTGAACACCTGTGCACTTGATATTTGGAGATACAGTCGGCCCTTAACATACGAGGGGGTTAGGTAACAGAGATACCCGTGAATGTTAAAAATCCGTGTACTATTGCTGCCCCCCTAAAAAAACCCTGGCTCCC